TTCTGACCTTCGATGATCCAGTTCAACCGTACTAATAAGCAAAAATGACTCTAGACAAACATTTGTGTGTCTTTTTTTATTGCTGAAGTGTGTTGAAATTTCTTCTTCTGCATTCTACTGTACGGACGTAAATTTACTTTCCCTTCAGCCTGAGGCTTATTCATTTCACTTTTGGTGTGAAAAGGCTTTACGCAGAAGTAACGTAACGCTTTACTGTCCATAAAAAGTAACTAAGTAATGTAATTAGTTACTTTTTTATGGAGTAACGCAATATTGTAATGCATTACTTTTAAAAGTAACTTTCCCCAACACTGAAAAACAAGTTATTATTTTTTATTTTTTATTTTATAAATGTTACACTTTTACCATGGCAGTGATCAAATGAATGGCTACCTGAGGACTGTACATCCTTTCCTGGGACTCTCTTTTGTATCTTAGAAGTCCTGGAAGCCCACGACAGAGATCTGGTGTGGATTCCAACGTCTGAAAATACTCCTGCTCCATCTGCTGGACAGTACAGAAAACAGTGTGGCAAGACCATAAGGGTGAACAGGTTAAGAGAAAAAGCATTCATTTTTTAAACACTAAAAGCTGAACCTGTATTCTTGTTGTACTTAAATTTGGTACACTGTAAAAAAAAAGTTGTAAATACAGATTATTGGAGTATGTTTTAGAAAATAAGTACTATTTCAGTCTTTATACTTCAAAATTTCATGTTTAATTCAATGTTATATGCAGTTTTTTTATCATTATAAAATTTACCAGCAATTTCTGAGTGAAAACTGTTTCAAACTCTGCACCATTATTTATTTATTTATTTAATTTTTTCAGTTTAAGTGATATCTGTGTAAAAAGATTAAAAAGTACAAGTTTCCACAATGTAATATGTCTGGAAATATCATAAATGGTTCTTACAAAATCTATATAATTTAGGAGTGTTCCAATCTCTGAATCCATCACTGCCAAATCAGCATCTGACAAAGTGAAAAACAACTTTAATATAGATGTAATTCTTAGAACTGCTGCAGTATTTTCTGTGATACACATCAGGTAGTATTATTTTCATTGCTTAACTCAGAATATCATTAAATCTCTCAATCATATCACACTGATGAGTTATAAACAAAAGTTTAAGAACTTAAAAAACACAAAATCTTAATGTTTCTGCCAAACAACTTACACTCTGAATTCAAAACAAATTCTGCAAAAGATGATGAATTGATATGCTCACCTTGCTGAAAAGTTCTCTTTTGATTTTCCATATCACACAGGTATTCCTGGGAGCATATGTTCACTATTCCAATGGTCCAGATTATATTTTACCTGCAGTTTCTTATATATCACACTTTTTTTTCTCCTTGAGTAGAGAAAATATATGAGTACATGAAATATGATATATTTTTATTCCTCTGTCACACTTTATCTTCTGAATAATGGTCAAACCTATGAGGTGAAGAATGTTTAGACTCAGCTGGATTGTTCCACAGCAGTGCATTGAAGGTATGTGTGTGTTGATGGTATCCATGGAAATTTGAGAGCTCTTAGGGGAGTTGTCCAGCCTGTATCAAACGCTGTGGGAGACCGTATAGTGTTCAGGCAGACCTGAGTGTCAAAACAGAAGCACACTGTTGCACTTGTGTCTTGGTATAAATCTTTACACAGCTAAATAATTCAATGTTTTCTCTCACTATATGTTTGTACTGTATTTGATTGGGTTGTATGTACCTAAATTAAATGTCCATCACGGAATTTTAACAAGTTCAGCACATAATTTGAGATGCTGTGAAAATTGTGTGTGTGCTTGTGTGAGTGTTTGTGTATACACACACACACACACACACACACACAGTGCTGGGCAGTAACTGATTACATGTAATCTGGACATGTAATCAGACTCCAAAAATGAAGTACTTGTAGATTACATTACATTTTAAAATGCTCATAAACAGATTACTCTTTTATAGATTACATGATTACATATTTTTCACACAATGGCAGTAAATTATTCATAATTTCATTTGTCCTAATTCTTTTTTCTCTCTTAAATTGTACTGCTTTTATACAAGCCTTCGTAAAAAGAATGATTAGCACTTTTATTTGTAAGGTAACAACCTCGACAGCTGTGCTGAATTAATGTTCAGTGTTTGTCGTGTGACAACACTTTAACACAGTGGTTCCCAACCCTGGTCCTGGAGGCACCCCAACACTGCACATTTTGCATGTCTCCTTAATCAAACACACCTGATTCAGATCATCAGCTCATTAGTAGAGACTCCAAGACCTGAAATTGGTGTGTCAGAGAAAGGAGACATGCAAAATGTGCAGTGTTGGGGTGCCTCCAGGACCAGGGTTGGGAACCACTGGTATAGACTACTGTTTCACACACTATTCTTTAAAAAACAGTAGGCAGTATGCACTGTGTACTGTGCAGTAAGCCGTAAGAAAGCATGCCATTTCAAACACAGCCTAGGAAACCGCAGACCAGACAATAGCTATGTCCCAATGTGAAGTGTGCAGACTCCGAAGTATGTTTTTGAAGTGCGATTGCAGGATGCACCCTCCGAAGATCTAATGTTCAGATTGCAAACCTGTCTTTATATTTTTCATTTTCTCTTGTTTTAGGACTATTCTGGAGAAAATTAGCCTGCTGGGGAAGGACTTAAAAATACAAAGCAAGTTAATACACAAATTTTTTGCTGAAATTCATTGTACTGTTGTTGTTAACAGGCATGGTTTGTTTGCTCTGCCTTAGGATTGCAAGTGTCCTGGGACAGGTGAGGGAGTGAGTGGAAGCTGGTGGAGCTACTCAGGGAGGACATCAAATTCCTGAGAGAGACAGAGGAGAGAACGGAGAGACTGTTTTCTCTTCTTGAAAGAATGGTTAACAAATAAATTATGTATTAGCCATTCTGTATTAGCCAAGAGAAAACAGTGGAAAAATGGGTACAGTACAATTTTTCAATATCTTTTTTTTTTTTTTTAAATGTCACATTGGCAATGAAGCAACCTAATTTCTGTAGTTTATTTTTGTGATGCAAGCTAAAAATTAAATGAATAAGTTGTATACATCATTCATTTTTGTAGTGTAATTTATTTGTAAATGAGTACTTTCTGTACATTTAGTATTTTTGTTTTGCATAGTCACATGTGTAAATAAAGTAGTAATTATGTACATGGTTAATTTTTTAATGCCGCTTATAATTTTTTCGGGGAAGGACTTCAAAAATACAAAGTAAGCAAGTTAATAGAGATTTTTGCTGAAATTCATTGTGCTGTTGCTGTTAACAGGCATGGTTTATTTGCTCTGCCTTAGGATTGCAAGTGTCCTGGGACAGGTGAGGGAGTGAGTGGAAGCTGGTGGAGCTACTCAGGGAGGACATCAAATTCCTGAGAGAGACAGAGGAGAGAACGGAGAGACTGTTTTCTCTTCTTGAAAGAATGGTTAACAAATAAATTATGTATTAGCCATTCTGTATTAGCCAAGAGAAAACAGTGGAAAAATGGGTACAGTACAATTTTTCAATATCTTTTTTTTTTTTTTTAAATGTCACATTGGCAATGAAGCAACCTAATTTCTGTAGTTTATTTTTGTGATGCAAGCTAAAAATTAAATGAATAAGTTGTATACATCATTCATTTTTGTAGTGTAATTTATTTGTAAATGAGTACTTTCTGTACATTTAGTATTTTTGTTTTGCATAGTCACATGTGTAAATAAAGTAGTAATTATGTACATTGTTAATTTTTTAATGCCGCTTATAATTTTTTCACAAAACATTCTTCTATATGTTTACTTTTTGTCCTGTAAATATTTTTTTTTACACATTAAAACAAATTGTTCTATATATTACTGAAAGTACTTTTACGGTTAATTTTTTAATGCCGCTTATAATTTTTTCACAAAACATTCTTCTATATGTTTACTTTTTGTCCTGTAAATATTTTTTTTTTACACATTAAAACAAATTGTTCTATATATTACTGAAAGTACTTTTACAACTATTTACTAGATAGCTTAGGTTTAACATCAGAAAAACAACATCAATATTGAGTCCAGCCCTGCCTCCAGGTCTTCGGGGGTCTTCAGGAGGTTAATTACTTGGTGGTGAATGGCCCCCACCTCCTCAGCGACTCGGAGGACAGTGGAACGAGGCATGTCAAACACTCTGGAGACCACTCTGTATGATGTACCACTGGCCAGACAGAAAAGAAACACCAGGGTCTGGATTGTGGCACCCCATCACTGTTGCCGTTCCTTCTCAGAAGATCCAGCAGCTCTGTCAGGGCCTCCCTGCTCAGCCGAAAACCATTAAAAACCTGTCCTGCGCTGGCACATTCAGCTTTATCCTGCAGTACAGGGGTCTGGTCTGATTTAGGGAAAGAAGGAAAAGAGAAACAGAAGATCCAGCAGCACTGTCAGGGCCTCCCTGCTCAGCCGAAAACAGTTAAAAAAACCTGTCCAGCACTGACACATTCAGCTTTATCCTGCAGTGCAGGGGTCTGGTTTGATTTAGGGAAAGAAGGAAAAGAGAAATTGTTTAGAGCGGTGACAAAGTCATTAGTAGAAGAAATATTGAGGTACTTTAGTAAATTACTTTTAGTAACTACTAATACCACATTGGGGAAAAACTACTAGTCATATTTAAAACCTTAGTTAAAAGGATAGGATAGAAATTCCAAACCTGGAACAACTTGAGGGTGAGTAAATGATTACAGAATTTTCATTTTTGGGTGAACTATCCTTTAAGTAAAAGTATTAGGCCAGGGCTGTCCAAACTCGGTCCTGGAGGGCTGGTGTCCTGCAGAGTTTAGCTCCAACCCTAATTAAACACACCTGAACCAGCTAATCAAGCCAAGGTCTTGGCTAAGCCTGAGGTACCCCGGGGGTGAAGCATTCCCACCATCTCCTCCAGTACAATATAAAATATTAAAACAAATATGAGCAATGCTGGCTCCAGAACTTTTTTAAATGACTAAACCTGTCAGGATTGCAGCTGTGCCCTCGCATCGTTGCTATGCGACGAAGCGGCAATCAGAAACATCTGGTGGCCAATTAGGAAATCCTGTGAAGGTGGAGCGTCTTTTCGAAGTCTGCGCACTTCACTTTGGGTCACAGCTAGTGAATCTCGCGTAATAATCAAACGGAACAATTGATTTGCCTTTAAATCACGCGTTAATTTATGGAACTAGTGCTTAAAGCAGCGCGGTACCGCACGGTATTTAATAGACGCGTCACATGCTTCAGGACTCACGAGCATACGTTACAATGGCGTCTTGGAAAACAAGGGGAAGGTTGTTAATTATATTAAGTTCTTTCACATGCATTACTTTCATACACTGCAGAAGTCTGCTACCGTTTTCTGGAACAGAAAAAACGAACGATGAAGGTGGCGACGATATATCAGAACAGTTTATGTCAGACCACAATTTTGTGCCTTTAGCTGATTTTGACCATCACCGTTACGACGCTGGAGTTTCAGGTATGTAATTAATGCTTGTTTTAATATCGGTATATAAATACGTAAGTTTTGTCCATTTGAATGTGCGAGAATATAAAAAATATTTAGGTCTTCAGAAGAAATCATTAATTAAAGGGCAACTACTCAGTTCTTCTGAAGCAGCCTGGGATGCCATGTCTCCAAAGTTGAGGTGTGGCGACGATCTTATGAAGTTAAAACTCAGTGGTCCAGAAGTAGCAAATGTTGAACTCTGTCGAGGTAACCTGTAAATTCATTATGCATTCGTTTACTAAAGATTTTGATATAAATATGGTATTTTAGAATTGTACTAATTTGCTTGTCCCACCTAGACTTTACATGCATCAATAAAAAAATAGAACTCCATATGGTTTTCTAATAGTCCTTATACCTTTTATTTATGTCACAGGTAATGGGGTGCCTGTTCCTCTCACTCAGTTGCCACCTCACTGTGGACACACCACACTTGCTTATGGAGGTCTTGTTTATGCTACTCCCTATGATGGATGTGGTGTTGTGCAACAGGTATTGCTTTCTCCGTTCCATTTAGCATGAAAACAGAGTAATGTAGACCAACCTGGATGTTCATGTTGTCTTTCAGGAAGGGTATTCTGTGATGCAGATACAGTGGCAGGGAAACTCGGCAGTCCTTTCTTGTCCTATGACCTCTACCACTGCAGATGAAACCTTCCTGGGACCTCATCCTCCTGAATATCTGCATGTTCTGCTGCCTCCCTTTTCTCCTGAAACACCAAGTCCAGAAGCACCTGTAATGCCACAAGCGTCTGATACTGTAACATTGAAACCATCACCTCCTTGGTACCCTCAAGTATATCCGCAAGGGTTTTGGCCTTTCCCTCATCTTTATCCTGGAAGGGTTTATTCCATAGCTAAGCAAACAGAGAAACCTGTTACAACTACCCTAGTTGCCAAAGCACCAACTGAAGAGCCTCAACCTCCCAAATACCCTCAGATGTCTTGGCCACACTACTACCACCCTGATTACCTCTATCATGGCAGACCAAAACCCACTCTAAAACCTGTTCCAACCGATGGCTCTAACACTGAATCTGATCCCCAAGCACCAACTGAAAAGCCTCAACCTCCCAAATACCCCCAGATGTCTTGGCCTTATTACTATCCTGGTCACCCTTATGGCGACCCAAAACCCACTTTGAAACCTATTCCAGCGGATGGCTCTAACACTGAATCGGATCCCCAAGCACTACCTGAAAAGCCTCAACCTCCCAAATACCCCCAGATGTATTGGCCACACTACTACCACCCTGATTACCTCTATCATGGCAGACCAAAGCCCGCTGAGAAACCTGTTCCAGCTGATGGCTCTAACACTGAATCGGATCCCCAAGCACTACCTGAAAAGCCTCAACCTCCCAAATACCCCCAGATGTATTGGCCACACTACTACCACCCTGATTACCTCTATCATGGCAGACCAAAGCCCGCTGAGAAACCTGTTCCAGCTGATGGCTCTAACACTGACTCAGATCCCCAAGTACCAGCTGAAAAGCCTCAACCTCCCAAATACCCCCAGATGTCTTGGCCACACTACTACCACCCTGATTACCTCTATCATGGCAGACCAAAACCTGCTGAGAAACCTGTTCCAGCCGATGGCTCTAACACTGAATCAGATCCCCAAGTACCAGCTGAAAAGCCTCAACCTCCCAAATACCCCCAGATGTCTTGGCCACACTACTACCACCCTGATTACCTCTATCATGGCAGACCAAAACCTGCTGAGAAACCTGTTCCAGCCGATGGCTCTAACACTGAATCAGATCCCCAAGTACCAGCTGAAAAGCCTCAACCTCCCAAATACCCCCAGATGTCTTGGCCTTATTACTCTCCTGGTTACCCTTATGGTGACCCAAAACCCACTTTGAAACCTGTTCCAGCTGATGGCTCTATGGCCTTATTACTATCCTGGTTACCCTTATTATGGCAAACCAAAACCTGCGGAGAAACCAACTGCTATCCTTACCAACACCTCAGCAGTTGCCCAAGCACCAACAGAGAAGCCTCACCCTCCAAAGTACCCCCAAATGTCTTGGCCATATTACTACCCCCATGACCCTGTCAGGCCAAAGCCCACAGAGAAACCAGCTTCAGCCACCCCCACTGCTCACCCATCAGGCTCGCCAGCAACAACCCAGACGCTGCAGCCCCCAGCATACCCTGGAAGTCTATTCCCTCAGTATAGCTATTACCCTGATTATCCTTCCTATTTGCAAGCGTTTTATCCACAATACCCAGTTCAGCCTCCCAAAACTCCTACTGCACCGCCTATAACCACCACTCCTCAACCCTGTACTACAACTGCAGCTGCTGAATGCAAACCCTTTGCCAACCAGCCTCCCAATGTGCCACCCCAGCAGTATATACCTCCCAGTTCTGTACTTTATGAAAAAAACCCTTTCGTGTTTCAATTTGTGGACTTTTTGGATCCCAACTCTTTCCCATGAAGTTTTGTTATGAGGACTGAGGCCAGATGCTTAGAATTACGCTGGTAATGTGCTGCATGTGTCTTTGAAAAAGATTGCCTCCTGATTTAATGCTAATACTGCAGAGTGATTCCTGCTCATGAACATGCTGGTTTGTGCTTAGTTTTGTCCTAATTGTCTCAAAAAATTCAATAAATCAGATATGATCAAATGCCCGGGTCTTTTTTTTTTTTTGTTTTTTTTTTTTTCTTCTCTTCTTCTCAGTGCCTGCTGGTAGAGAACACGCCACAGTGGGGAAATGGTTTGTGAGATTGGAACATCTAGTATGAAACTGATGCCAAAACAGATCTAGTTCACTGCCTCTTTAGTGCATGCGTTTCATTGCGAGATGCTTGTGCTCCTCCTTAGCATGCTTGCTCGCACACTCCCTCCTCCCCCCTCCTTACATGTGTGTGATGCTGGTCTCAAGGGTGTAGCTCAGACACTGCAGTAGAAGGTAGGGCTTGGCTGCTGCACTATACAATGCGCTGAAAGATGGTGCACCAGGAGAAATGTGTTTACCAGGTAAGATAGGTCAATATATCTTATGTAGCATTAAAGTTGTGGTGTGTGTGTGTGTGTGTGTGTGTGTGTGTGTGTGTGTGTGTGTGTGTGATAAATTACACACGGAGTGATGGATGTTAAAATACTTGTAGATTTAGTTCAACGATAACTGGGAAAAAAAGGTGCAGCTTGAATTGGACTAATTCTGCTTGAATTGAACTAATTCAACCCATCACAAACAAGGTCATATTTTTTTGTTTGTATAGATGGCTGCTTTTGCTTGAAGTGGCAACATCTCCCACTGATGAAAGCAATTGAATCTAGCTGTTACTGTTTTTCAGATTGTACCGGAAAGCTGGTTTACAGATTGCTAATATTACATCACAAGCAGAGCTATTGATGTTTTTCAATTTTTGAGTGCTTCATGAATCAGCCTCTCTTCTACTCTGTGCTTCCCTTTATCTAAATGTTCATCTCAGTGAAAATGCAACCTGAGAAAAATATGTCCATAGAAATAGGAAAGTTATTGACTTTCACAATAGTAGGCTTTATAATTATTCCAGTGTTGAGTTCAAATAATTTTTTTTTGTATTAGTCATTCAGCACCAGAAGGCAACTGTGTTGCCATGGCAATGAACTGAGTGTAATATGAAGATCTGAGAGAACATGTTATTCTTGCCAATATAGCATAATCGGGAATAGTCACGCAGTTCTGTATTTACCCATCTAACAGAGAACATTCTCAGAACTTTGGCTAGTGTTCTGGTCAAACTGGAAATGAATAGAATGTTTGTTCAAAGTTGCCCGGCTTTAATACTGTTCTCAAAATGTTAGCACAAAAACATGTACACATAGTTTGTGGAACTTTTTCCAGAAATGTTTTAGTTGGATGTTTGTGTAACATTAAACATATTTTTTCCGGTCTCAGAATGTTCGGAAAACATATCAAAAGTGACATTCCCATAATGTTTGCAAAATGCTAAAATGGCATAACTAAGAAATAATTTTATTTATTTTTTTTCAATTTTCGGAGAACATTTAGAAATGACGTTTTTATAGCTTAACTGGAATGTTATCAAACCATATTTTTGTATTTATGTGGATATGTTTGTCGAGCGCCTGAGCTCTTCCTTCATGTGTACTGCCTCGGGTCCCTCTGCATTTTTCTCTTCGTCTCTGTAATTTGCCGTTTATTGAGGCAGCGGTGATTTCGCCACAAGCACAAAATCAGAATTTATATCGTACATTCCAATTCCAATCCACACTCTCTCTTTTCCCACAGCGATGCCTTCATGCCCTTGAAATCCAGCACGTTATTTAAACTCTGTCACGAGCATTGAGTAGTCGTAGCTGTATGATAGTGGATGACATCTATTTTAAAATGCCACATCAAATATTCCTGGATGCGAGGTCTTCTGTGGCCTACTACATGCTGAGCGTTCTCTTCATTTATCGAAGTCGACTGTGTTTTCATCAGGCCCAGAGGAATGAGAGAGAGTCCATTAGGCAGAAGCTGGCCCTTGGCAGTTTCTATGACGACGGACCGGTTACCTTTACTGGCTGCAGCAAAAACTGCCTGTCCTCACGGTCAGTGTGCACTTGTGTTCAGTGTGTTGGTGGTGTGTCTTATGTAATGTTGATTGATTTTTTTTTTTTTTTTTTTTAGAAATAGGCTGGAAACATTGCAAGTGTTGCAATTCTCTGTGCTGTCTGTATATATATATATATATATATATATATATATACACATTAATGATGATTGTTTTTTTTTTTTTTTTTTTTTTTTTTCGACTGGAATGTTACTGTATACACTACTGGTCAAAGGTTTGGAATAATTGCGATATTTTTTATTGTTTTTGAAAGTCTCATGCTCACCAAGGCTATATTTACTTAATTAAAAACACAGTAAAAGCTGGAATATTGAGAAATATTATTGCAATTTAGAATGATTGTTTTCTGTTTTATTATATATATATATATATATACACACAGTGGTGTGAAAAAACACCACTGTGTGTGTATATATATATATATAATTCCTGTGATGGAAAAGCTGAATTCTCATCAGCCATTACTCCAGTCGTCAGTGTCACATGATCCTTCAGAAATCATTCTAATATGCTGATTTGGAGCTCATTTATTATTAATACTCAGTTATTAATGGCAATTTATATTATTATTTTTTGGAAATCATGATAAAAAGCAAATCAGGACATTATGATATAGATATATAGAAAATTCAAAAGAACAGCATTTGTTTAAAATAGAAATCTTTTGTAACGTTAGGCTATAATTGTCTTTATTGTCACTTTTCAACTGTTTATTTTGTATGGCTTTTGAATGCTAGGTGTATAACGGTTTGCACAAAAATATTAAACCCCAAAAACTGAAAATTCAGCTTTGCCATCACAGAAATAAATTAGATTTGAAAATATATTCATTAAAAAAAAAAACAGGTTAAATTGTAATATTTTTTCATAATATTACTGTTTTTACAGTATTTTTGATTAAATAAATGCAGTTGTTTTTCAACAACATTAGATATCTTAATTATGCCAAACTGATCAAATAAAAACCAAAATGTGAAATGTTTTATTTTTTTTAGGGTTCTGCTGATAATTCTTTTGTGTGTTGTCCCTTTTGCCATGAGGCATATTGAGGGCTCAGAATCATCTAATTTTAATCATTGCATACCAAATATATAATTTGTTTTCAGCATATAATTCATGTTAACTTGAGTAGTCATCCCCATTTCTCACTTGACATCTGAGTCTACTTTGTTTCCACTGTTTGAGCAAACAAATGTTTGACAGAAAAAATAAAAAAAAAATCGTACTTTGTGGCTATTTTAGTCCGCTCTGTTTATTGTTTAATGTTTGGAGCACTTTGGGAAGGAAGAAATCGTGTCTGTCGACTTGACACATTTTCTCAAGAATAACACGGGGAGGAAATGTAGACAGTGCTGATGTAGAGAGGCAAAAATGTTGTAGAGAGTGAAAATATCAGCAATCAATCTGCAAAATAATGTTTCTGCAAGAATCCGCTCCTTAAGAGATCAGTGTTTGTAGTTGTCATTTATGCAGTTGTTATTTATATTATCCCTTAGTTTTATAAACATTTCCATTAACCCTAAAACACAATGCAATGAAGTGCAAAATTCAAAATATGGGTAAAACGTCTGTTTAAATAAATAAATATTTACTTACTTATTTACTTAGTGTACCTATGTGTGGTCCAAGCAAAAAGTGAATGCTATGTTTTTTTTCAGGATTATTTTTATTCATCGTTGTTCTGCCTTTAAACTGAATGTAAAGAACAAACGAGAGAATATGACATTTAAACAGAGTCTGGAATGCTGACTCAGAGAATGAAAAGCAAATAGACCTACATGACAAATAAATATGCCTGGTATAGTGCTAATTTTGTTTCTTTTTATTGAATCTTTCCTAAACATTTATTAGCATAGTTACTGTATATAATTATTATTTTTAGTTCTTTCTCTTAATAAAGACAGAAACCTCTTACCATTTATCACTCATTTTATATTAGGACATTTTATTGCATCACAAATCCATGGACTGGCCATGTTTGTTGGTGTAGCTGCTGCTTTTCTGTGTCTTTTTTTGTATCGCAACTACGTTTCAACAAGGTTCCTAGAAAGCTAAGGAAAGTCCAATCAGCATTAAAATTGAGGTGCATACAGTATTTTCCCACACAACACTCCACAGAGTATATTTCACAGAGTAATTTTCCACAGCATTTACCCTTATCTGTACAAGAGATACCACAGAACCAGGTTCATACCAGTCTACAGAAGTGAACTCTGACATTGAAGACATTTCTATGTACAGGCTTCACTTGAAGCTTATAGTCAGTGTTTTCGTAGAATACTATTAACCACAAAATTCTACTGCAACTGAAGAGAAACTGTGGTTCACAAACTCTAAAAATAGAACTTTCACTCTTTCTTTCTCTTTTCAGTAAATACTATCTCATGTGTTTATTTTAGAGTTATACTGTACAGTTTACTACAAAATTATTCATGCCTTAAGACTGAAAGAAGTCTTTTTTTCCTGAAATAACACAGATTACTCCTCAAAATGCATTCTAAATGAAAAATGCATTCTAACGAAAAGCAATGAAATAAAATTGATAATTTTGAAAATTTTATTTTATTTTATTTTATTTTATTTTAATTTTTTTATTAATATATTTGTTCATTGCACTCTCACTATAGGCTTCAGAATGGGGTGAATCTACAGATGTGCTTTGTGAATGACAGCAGCAGTGACAGGGACAGTGATGCAGAGGACAGCAGAACAGAGACCAGCTTGGACACCCCATTGTCACCTATGGTATAAAGCCTAGCCTTTTAATAATACATTAAACAAAGTTCTTCTACATTTTGGAACTGTGATCAAAAAAATGGTGTGATTTAATTCAGCAGTTTTTGTTTCTGTCTCACTATAGAGCAAACAGAGTTCCTCTCTGTCCGACCGGGATACAGGAGAGGAAGAGCTGGACTCCGAGGATTCAGAATTCTGGCGGTTACAGCGGCGGCTGCAGGAGGAGGCCCGTGTGGCTCTGGCGTTGGCCCGTCCCATGGCCCGCATGCAGGTGGAGGTGGAGAGACAGATTCAGCTACACCGCAGGTCCCCCGTGGCA